TTTTCGTTAGTAGAAGCATTTGTAAGTAGAGGTACCACTGTATTTCCTCTTTTTCTGTGACTTGATAAGTACCCCCTCGAAGCAGAACTGATATTAAGATTCAGAATGGCTAGGTCTGACCTGACAACATGTCCCCACCTTTAAAAAAAAGTCTCCCTGACATTTGTATTTTTGGTTCCTATTTTGATGTCCCCCCAGCAAGGATATGGAAAGAACTGTAACTTTGTTTCACACTCCTAGCACAATAACCTTTCACACTGGATTAGTATAAAGCCAACCCCCATCCCCACAAAACCTCTTTAGTTAAAAGCTCAGAAGAAGTGATAATGTATTCTTAGGGAGCACAAAGCTATTCTCCAGAGTCTAAACATGGATATGCAGGCCGATTTGCATTCTCTTGCTGAGGTTTTCAGAGCGAGGTTTGAAAAATCTGAATAGGAGATGATTAACAGGATCAAAATTTATGTTACTTTGTTTGAGGAGGAGGCACTAAAACTGTCCATTTTGGCTTGCAATCATGGCAATCTATTGTAGCTCTGACTCCCTCTTTCCACTACTATGAACATGTGGGATGGATGATTTCTACATACAAAACCGAAGTTGGGATCATTTGCTTTAGCTTCATTCAGATTTAATTGGGGAGATTATCACATGCCTTAAATAATACTCCTTACCTCTCCCCAATTTAATTCTAATTTGCACTGCAGCCATGTTTTATCATACGGCTTTTGCAGTGGAATCTGACTTCCCCATTCCCATTCCAATGGGGAATGTATTCTGGCAGCCATTTTTCCAAGTCAGAACCTTCCAACTAGGGAGATTATCACATGCCTTAAATAATATTCCTTATCTCTCCTGAATTTATCTCTAATTCACAATGCAGCCGTGTTTTATCACACAGCTTTTGCAGTGGGATCTGACTTCAGAGTAGCTCCCCGCTCCAATGCACATTTGAAAACGTGTTCCAGTGGCCATTTTTCCAAGTCGGAAGGCTTCCCAATTTGCATTGGAGCAGGGATCTACGTTTTAGTTAGATTCCGTTGCAAAAGCCATGTGATAAAACATGGCTGCAGCATAAATTAGAGTTAAATTCAGGAGAAGTAAGGAGTATTATTTAAGGCATGTAATAATCTCATCGGAAAAATGGCCGCTGGAGCACATTTTCGAATGTGCATTGGAGCAGGGATCTACTCTGAAGCTGCGGCGCAAATTAGAATTAAATTTGGGAGATAAGGAGTATTATTTAAGGCATTCAATAATCTCCTATGTGTATGTTAGCAGTGAGTATTTAAAGACCCTTGTCTCTGAAAGAATAAATGCAATAAAAGTCTGTTTTCTGTAGCTGTAGGCATGGAATGTCAAATCATGTTACACTGTACCACACAGCAGTGACAATTTCATTTTAAAACATGGGGCAATTCTTCAGAACTCAAAGTATTTCCAGCCCCATTCCACAATGCAATAGAGAGGCTGCCAAGGGAAGGAGTTTCTGTACACTTGGTACATTTTATGTGAGAAGAGAATAAAAGTGAAATCCACAGTACTTGGCAATAACAAAAGATGGGGGCATCACTTGAATAGCCAGTCTCTTTAGAAAGAGCCTTTGTAGTCCATTTGCTTCTCATGTTTCACAACTAACAGCTCTTAAGTGGAAGGGCTAGCTATCTGTAATGTCATTTTATCAATTCAATCTAAAAATGAAGGATAAGAGACAAAGCAGTAGCAGTGTGCTTCTTTCAAATGCACTTCTGAACAATTATCATTGTGCCCACTCATCATCTCTATTCCCTGAATCCTTTAGAGCTATCTAGTTTAATGTACAGTAACTTATATGCTGAAAACATCATAAGAAAAGCAGAATTAGAATCAGAAAAGGAGGAGTTAAGATAGGAGGAAGCAACATTAACAACTTAAAATATGCAGATGACTCCATAATATTGGCAGAAGACATTCAGGAATTGGAACAGTTAATAAGGAAGATCAAAGATGAAAGTGCAAGGGCAGGTCTGATGCTGAACATAAAGAAAACAAAAATAATGACCACAGAAGAAATACACTAATTCAATCTAGACAATGAGGAAATTGAAAAAGAATCCCATATCTAGGATCAAACATTGATCAGAATGGAGACTGAAGTCAAGAAATAAGAAGACTGGGAATGGGAAAGGCAGCTATGAAAGAACTGGAAAAGATGCTGAAGAGCAAAGACATACAACTGAGCACTAAAATCAGAATCGTTCAAGCCATTGTATTCCCAGTTACCATGTATGGATGTGAGAGCTGGACAGTGAAGGAAGCAGACAGAAAGAAAATCAACTAATTTGAAATGTGGTGCTGGAGAAGAATACTTAGGAAACCATGGACAGCCAAGAACACAAACAAATGGATTCTTGAGCAGATCAGACCAGGGCTCTCCTTGGAAGTTAATATGGTCAAGTTGAGACTATCATAGTTTGGCAACATAATGAGAAGGCATGGATCACTAGAAAAAACAATAATGCTAGGAAAGGTAGAGGATCGATGAAAGAGAGGAAGACCACAAATCAGATGGATAGACTCAATGAGGGGGGCTATGGGGATGGGCTTGCAGGATCTGGACAAGGCAGTGGAAGATAAGGATTCTTGGAGATGTCTCATCCACATGGTCAACATGACTTGGAACCAACTCAAGGGCAGCTAACAACAACAACAAGGCAGCCTAGAGTATATTTACTGGCCCAATTTTATTAGAGCATAAAAGGTCACACTTCGGAAGGTTCAACTATTTTATCTGAGGTGCAACAGCAATGCAGTTGCCTCCTATGGATTACAAGTTGCTGCCATACTTCATGTTCGTTCAAACAAGCAAAAAAATGTGAAATGTTGCATTTGCATCTTTACAATGAGCAGTGTATAGCGGGGAAATATCTGTACACATACAACTAATGTATTCACAAGGGTTCCCATCTTTCACCTGTATAAGCATACGAAGGAGAACTTGGCAAAGTAACAAAGGAATTACAAGTAACAATGCTATGAGTAAAACATTTCTATTGGACATAAGAAAGACATAATAACCATTATCAAATGACTGTAACATCATTACTTTGTGTATAATAGATAATGTTTATTCATAAATTTTTAGTTGTAAGCTATCAGTGCTTTCTTGGATTGTTTTAAAGGGATATTTTTTAACAAGACAAATTTCTTATCTTGTAAGATTTTTTTGCCAAAATATAATGTAAAATCTTATTCAATTCTCTTATAATATTGACATGAATGAGTTATTCTCTCACACACATTCTCTCTCTGTGTATCCATGTCCTTTTTTTATAGAACTTATATCACTTTTTAAAAGTAATTTTCCAAAATCTGATCATAGGAGGATTCAGGCCTGGAGCCAGAGTTGACTTTTTTTTTGTCTAGGCCTTAGGCCAAGCAAGCAGAGAACAAACCATGTGATCCTCCAGATGTTTTTGGATACCAGCTTCTATCAGCTCTCACTGGGATGGTTAGGAATGATGGATGATGAATTCCAACAACATCTGGAAGGCCAGAGGTTTTCTATCTGTACAGTAGATTGTATATCTCTTTATCTTTGGAACACTGGGGTAGCAGCCTCACATAATTTCTAGCTTGCCAGAATCAAGGAAAGGACAAGAATCTCCATAGAACTATTTATTATTTTGGCAAAACTTTTCATTTCACATAGCCATTCTGTATACCCATGGTGTTTCTAAAACACGAGCATCAAGAATTAGAAACTCAAGTTGATAATTTAAGCCAAATGTCAGTCATTACCAAAGCAACCCAAGTTCATCCTTCCAGTAGACATATCTTTATATTATTTTTAGAGTGAATATTGCTTCCTCTGTACACCATAATTGTCCCACATAGTTATTAGAATTTCAAAAGTAATAAGAAGCCTTCACAATGATAACAAAAATAAATACTGCATGCAGAGACCTTATGGAACTAAGTCAACGGTACATGCTCATTATGACAATTAATACAACCACATATGAAAAAAGCCAAAATATGTAACAAGATGATAAGCTGACAGTTCCTAGCTAAACTCTGGCAGCTTAAAATAATAGGTTAGTGGCACAACACTGTAATTTTCCTTTAGTGCTATACTGAAGATGTGGTTTCATTCTTGTAAATTGGCAATGACAGTTACAGTTGAGCAATATCTGGAGGCTGATAGATTCCTGATCCCTGCTTTATATAGCTTGTGAAATATAATTTCATTGAAGGACCTCCACCCCTGAAAAAAGCACCCAGCAACACTGTTTTCAGGTAGAACTTGACTCTCAAAAGCATAGTATAAAACTGAAGTTGATAAAACTGAACTGGAAAAAATTAAATTAAATTATTGAAAAGATCACAGGTTTTGTCTCCCACTTTCTGCAGTGGTATCCATAATGGAAGAGATAAACAACATCCAGTAGTAGTTTAAAAATTCTCATGGTGTATGAATGAAATTCAGTGAATGGTATTGGAGGCAGGAACGGTTTTAGGGAATTGCAGACCGGCCTAAAGGGACAGCCTGGGGATGGAGTTGGGGCGGGGCAGCTGCACGCTAGGCACCCCAACCCCAGCCCGACACCATCCTGACGGAGTGTGCCCATACGCATGGTGTGTGG